CGAATATCTACCCTACTGAATTGTTCTTAGAAGATACTAAAAATCACACGTGGGAAGTACATTGCTCAGTAGCCACTTAGCTTAACCTGTGTTCAGTAAATGGGTGTTTACCACCTTCCTTCTCTAGGGGACTGAAGCTATAGACCCTGAGGCCAGAAACAACACCATACCTTAATTCCCCTGACCCAACTAAGTCATCAGGCCATTTATTTTGATAGGCGGATATTCTACCTAAAGATGGAAGACAATTCATGAGATGTGTCCAAATGAGCACTGCCATCAGTTTTGCTCAGTATCTACTTCTGTCCCCGTGGTCAAGCAGTCTCTCCTTCAGCCCCACTTACCCAGCCCTTACCGATGTCCCACCCCACATGCCTCTGACACTGTCAGGTTGCCAGCCTAAGATCTAGGTTTAGTTGACTCACTAGCTGTAGGAACCTAGGCATATCACTTAAGTCTACTAGGTCTCAGTTTCTCCATCTATAAAACAGGGAGACAATGAATATAAAATGAGGCATTAGCTCAGCGCCTGACGCATGGAAGGCACTTTGCCATGTTAGTTGTTATTGTTGGTGGTGGTGTTATTTACCCTGTTTGTGGGTGAGGAAATTGTCATTCTAGGTGAATGAGTGATGAAGCCAATCTTTTAAATTTGCCAGTTGTGTGGAGGAAAAGGAGACTCCAAAATGCAGAATAAAAGGTGTCTGAGCCAATAAAAAAATGTTTAAATTAGCTGACTCAAAGCCCATGGTCGTTGCACAGCAACAAGCTGCTAAGCACCAAAAGAAGGCACAGAAAAGGTTAAGAACAGACGCAGCCTTATATGTGCTTCCAGGTGCCCAGGCATCAGCGAATCCTGGATGTAGCAGAGTCCTGTGAATGACAACAGCAACCCCTGCTTGGTTAATTACCTGTCAGTGTCAATGGCTACTTTTCTCTCCTGTCAGTTTTCCCTCTATCCAAGGACTTCCAAGTACCCCCACCTATAAACCCTCAGACTTGTTCTGCTTTAGTAGTTTCTCTCTCCAAATGAAAGAGAAGAAAGTCACCTGAATAAGGCAAGATGAAACCCCATAAATATCAGAGGTAATTTAATGAATTATTTGATATTACTTGATCATCATATTTGTTTAACTGGCGTCTCTGCTCACGATCTAAGTATTCGTTGGTTTCTTTGGATTTGGACTTTCCACCTTCTATTTCAGGGTCTTGGAACTGCAAGACCCTTATCTAATGTGCTTCTTGCCCTTTGTTTCCTTGACCCAGCTCTGAGGCTCTCCTGATTTCAGATTTCCCTACCTTTGTGGCTTTGACTCCTCCCATGATTCCTTGCAACCTGCCTCAGTTTTCCCAGCACCAGCCCTTCAAGCTGCATTCACAGTTCATTGCAATAGAAACTCTGTATCTTCTTTAAGGCCAGTGTCCTATGCCTTGATTAAAAATTTCTCTCTGAGTAAGAAAACTGCTATAGTGATTCTGTGTGCTTACAATCTGACCTTCCTACTATTTAATGAGAAAGTACAATACTAAGTGAAAGGGAAGTGATAGTAGGTAAAACAGAAGCACAAAGATTAGTGCTTTTGTTTTATAGTTGATTACCTAGCCCCATGGCTTAAACTTTCTCACTCTTTTGTTTTTCCAGCAACTTCCCCTTCTTCATGACCTCTAAAGAGTATCTTAGGAGCCCATTGAATCTCCCTTGTCCTCTTTCTATATTTACTCCCCAGGTGGTTTCATCCAGCCTCACTTTTAAATACCTCTGTCCTCTGTGTCTCCCAAATGCATCTCTCCACCCCAGGCCTCCCCTTGCACTCTGGACTTACACAACCACCCACCACCTAATCCATCACTCCAGTGTCCAACAGGTACCATACACTGAGCAGGTCCAAGCCAAACTCTTCTCTTCCAGTCTTTTCTGTCTTACTTACGGCATCTCTACCCTTCCCTTTATTCTTCCTACATAACACAGTTCTTAGGTACAGCAAATCTTATGGGTTCTACCTTCAAAATATATTTAGAATCCAACCCCAGTATTAATCACCATCAGTTCTTGCCAAGACTATTGCAATAGTTTCTTTATTGGTCTTCTGTTCCACCTCTGTTGCCTGGCAGTCCTTTCTCAGTAGAGCAGCCAGAGAGAGCCTAGTAATTCAGAGCATGGTGCTCCTCTTGTTGCCCATTGCTTTCAGTGTAAACCTGACATCCTCATGATGGCCTGCAGGTCCTATGTGATCAGGCTCTCCCAACCTTGTCTTATTTCCCCCTCCTCCTTTCACACATCTCCCTGATACATTGGCCATTCAGCTGTCCCCAAGCATACCAAATATTCTATCCCAACCCAGGGCCTCTATACTTACCCTTCCCTCTGCCTAAAATACCTTCCCCCAAATACCTGCATGGATCATCCCACATTTCATTCATGGATCTGTGCACATGTTCATGCTACCATAAGGCCTTTTCTGGTCACCATATCTACAGTGTCACCCACATTCCTTAGCCCCATCATCCCTATCTAGCCCTTACTTCCTTGGTCTCTCCTGATACTTGTCACCACCAGCCTTATCATACACTGATAGATTTATTTATCATCTACTTTCCCAAACTGACTCGACACTCATATACACATACTCCACAAGCACAGGCACTTTGTCACTGTGTCCCTAGAGCCCCACTAGTTACTGGCATATTGTCAATATTTAATAAATAACTGCTGAATGAATAAACATTATTAATAGCCTCTCTCATTTTCTCTGTGAGTCTAGATAGTTCACCTAGAATGAATTCATTCTAGAACTCATATTAGGAGCCATGCCTTTTTAAAAAATATTTTAGTTTTATCCAAAGGACACAGCAACATAGAAACCTGCATATGACCTGGTCTTCCTGCTGATCCAGGCCCATCTCAAAGCCACCTCTACAGGACTAGCTCTTTAAAATGTCTATGTTTTCACATCTTTCATATGTATTATTCTGAATTATTTCAGTTGCCAGTTACAGAAACCCAGTTCAAATAGTCATAAGGTTAAGGAAGAAAAAAGGAGGTGGGGATTTATTAGTTAGTAGAACTGAAAGTCACAGTTCAAGAATAGTTGGAGAAATGTGCTAGAAGGGTTTTTTCAGGGATGCACCTCTTTCCTTCTGTTGCCTTTGCTTTCTTATGTCTGGTGTGATTCAGACTGATGTTCCCCAAGTAGGGCTAAAGATGGTCATCAGTATCCCTAAGCTTCTATTCTACCAAGTTAGCAACCTCAGCATCAGAGCTGACCTTAGATAGGTTCAGCGCCACCCAGATTGAATGGCCTAGGAGAGTTTGGGGTGGTTTCGTCAGGAAAAGTCAGCTTGCTGAAGTTAAAGTAACAAAGTGGGGTTGCTGAGCAGATGAAAAGTGTGTGTCCAGTACACTGATTTCTCCTCAAATTCTTATCTTCTAGCACCTCTGTCCTAACCCTGAAATATCTAAGGACGGAGAGGAGGGCTTGCTTCTGTGTATCTCCAAGATCCCATGGGGGGACACACTTGGACTAAACAAGCAGGAAATATTTGGTAAGAGTGACAGAATCACCCCAAAGCCAAGAAGCTCAACACTGAGGGGTGATGTGTTTTTAAGTATTTTCCATCCCAGAAAAATTTGAATTTCCTTTCAGAGTCTCAGTTTCCTTATTTGAACAAGTCCCCTCGATCCCTGCCTCCTTCCTTGCATGGAGTCTGCTAAAATCTTACTGCATTAGCTATCTCTTTTTTTTTTTTTTAAAGGTTTTATTTATTTGACAGAGAGAGAACACAAGAAGAGTGAGCAGCAGGCAGTGGGAGAAGGAGAAGCAGGCTCCCTGTTGAGCAGGGAGTCTGATGTGGGGCTTGATCCCAGGACCCTGGGATCATGACCTGAGCCAAAGGTGGATGCTTAGGCAACTGAGCCACCCAGGTACCCCAGCTATCTCTTGCTGTGTAACAAATGAACCCAGGACTGAACAGCCTGAGAGCAACTGCATTTTTCATCTCATAATTGCCACAAGTGAGAAATCTGAGTCCTCTGATGGTGTTGAAGGTATCTGCCAAAACCTCCAGTCATGTCAAAGCTCTGCCAGGGAGATGTCTACTTTCCAGATGACTCACGTGGTTTTTTGCAAAATTCAGTCACTTACTGTCTTTTGGACTGCGGGTCTTAGTTCCCTGTGAGCCAATAGCTCACAGGGAGGCCTCCTCCAGTTCCTTGTCCTTTGAGCCCCTCCATGATGCTACTCACACAATGGCAGCTGGTTTCCTCAGAGTGAGAGGGAAAGAGCAGAGTGCCAGCAAGATGAAAGTTACTGTCTTTTGTCATGACAAAAGGAGGTCATGACATCCCGTCATCCCTTTTGCCATATTCTGTTTGTTAGAGCGAAGTGCTAGGTTTAGCCTGCACTCAAGGGAAGTAATTACATGAGGGCATAAATAGGAGGAATATTTGGGGATAACGGAAGGCTGTCAAAAATGCAAGACACTGTTTTGTCCCCTGCAGTTAGACCCAGTAGATTTTCATGTGAGGACAGTTCCAACACTGACTGACTGACTGCACAGTGCCTCACAGCGACAGGCTTCTGAGGCCTCGTGGACTCAGTGGGAAAGAGTGCCATCATCGATTAGTGATGTCTGCCATGGGTGAGACATGGGGGAACGGCAGCCTAAATCCACATAATGCTGAGCCCCATTCTGACAGCGTCGAAGCAAGCTTGCCCCGGCCTAATAGACATAACAATTTCTCTCTGGCACCAATCAGAAGAAATGATGCCCTGGCGAAAATTCACCTATCTGATAGCTGAGGCTGAATCTGCTCTGGTCAAATAACACAGCTTGAGTTACTGCGAACAACCGATGCCTTGTCTTACTGGCTTTTTTTTTTTTTTTAAACATATGCCCACATCCATACTGAGCCATTCTGTTCATTTGCATCCAGTTTCCCACTACAAACATGTTTAAGAAGTGGAGGAAGGCATATTTGTTCTGCTTTTTGTTTTGGTTTTAAGGGTTGGGTGAGGAGCTTGGCATGGTGGCTGCGATCGGTCCCAGAGTTCCAGGGTTCCAAACGGGTGTCACGATGGCAGGTAACCAAGTCTCCCCACTCTCAGAACTGGTAACTGTAAAGCCTGGACCTGTAGGTAAAGCAACAGAGAGAACACAATCATGTTTCGTGTGGTACTTTCTCTTCCTCGAAAGAACTAGCAACATGTTTGGCAAAAACAATAAATAAAATGAAGCAAGTCTGATTAAAAACATGTTTGTAAACACTCCTTTCTTGTTCACTTAAGCAAGAGACTAGAGCTGGTTTCCTTTGACTTTACCCCAGAATAAGTGTGTTGGGAATAATGCAATAAATGGGAGAAAAAGAACAAGTGTCTCTTGCCTTAAAATATTAAATTATGTTCCCAAAATGAAAATACTGCTCTATTTACTGAATGTTACGGCAACAGGGTTGTGTTTCATAAACTTCTTTAGAAGGCCTGTTGGCTAAATTTAGTATTGCCGTGTCCTTCCTTCTTTCCTTCCTTCCTTCAGTTCCTTTCCTTCCTTTCTTTTTTTTTCCTTCTTTCTTTTCAACCCAGTTGTATTCAAGGCTTGGGAGTTGACAGTGGAGTCCACAAAATGCAAAACAAATAACCAAGACAAAAATAAGTTGTATGCTTTATTTGAGAGTTTATTTTTGTCCCTTCTCTTTGGATTGCTCTGTGTGCCGTGCAGGAACCAGAGCTACCCTGAGACTGAAATTTGCTGAGAGAAGGAAATCTCCACTCCCAAACTCCTCCAAGGTCCTCCAGGAAACCAGTCTTCCCAGGGTTCGCATGTTCGTATGGCCACATGTCAAACTCAATCTGTTACAGGGCGTACAACCCCCCAAATCAGCATCTCAGGAAATGTAGCCTACATCCTGTGGCCATCTGGAGCCCGCTTCACCAAGACGTCTATTTTTCAACGGAGAAGTTGCAGAAAGGGTTAATCAATCACTGTGCCAGTTCAAACACCAAGCTCCCTCCTACCTCCTACTTGCAGCCACTCTCCCTCCCCAGCCCCAGAGCCGGCTGAACGAGGCCCCACATCAAAGCTGGAAACTCGAAGCAAATGTGCCAAAAGCCCAAATGGAAGTGGTGGAATTGGAGATGCCTTTATTAAGTGTCACTTCTTAATCCAGCCCCCAACCAGGCGGAGGCGACGACTGTCACACCCAAAGCAGGATTTAGACACGCCAGGTTGGGTGGAGAGTAGGGCTCCCCAGCGAGATTTCCAGTTCCCCCCTGAAACTTGTTTCTTTAATAACTCACCTTGAGAATGCGGCTGGACCAAATGACAGCAGTGCCGCCTCGCCGGGGTGCCAGAACAAGCTGTGCCCTGGTGCCCTCCCATGGACTCCCTTGGAAACGTGCGGGCGGGCGGTCTGCTCTTCCTTCTTGAACATTTCTTTGCATTGGACACAGATGAGAATGCCTCCACTGTTGCGTAGGTCCTCTGAGAAACTGAGGCTGGTGTGGTTCTGTTACCTTTCTTGTCCTCGTTCTTTGCCCCGTAGTGAGAACATTGTAATTATCCTTAGGGTCATGAACAGGCGTGGTTACACTTCCAGTTTCCCCATCTCTTGCAAATGGGGGCTTCGCAGTCAGATGGGCTTGAGTGAAAATCGTAGCTGTGGTGCGGTGTGCCTGCAGGGCTCACTTTTCCTGGTCTCCCCTCTACCCTCTGTAAAATGGGGACAAATCAGCATTCCTTGAGGAATCTGAGTTGCTGAGAAGATTCGTGAGAAAATGCGTGTGAAGGCTCAGGACAGCGCTGGCCTGTTAATAAACACTCCATGTAGCTGCTTCATGGCTGTTGTCGATCACATATTCATTCAGCAAACATTCTCCAGATGCCCTCTCTATGCTAGACACTGGCTTAGGCACTGGTGGCAGTGATGAACAAAATAGGCAAGATCTCAGTTTCTACGGAGTGTGTGATCTCATCAACAGAGAATTTAAAGCACACAAATGAGTAGACAAGAACACGTAGAGGCTACTGTGATAAAGTCCTGAGGCTGTCACATGGAGACTAGGAGCTCTGGAAAGTTCCTCTGAAGATTAAAGGACTGAGTCCAAGATCTGAGTCTCAGGAGACACCAGGCATGTGAGCATTCCAAGCAGAGACCATGATTCAGGACAGAGCTTGGCATGTAATCTGTGGACAGAAAGAAGGCTGATGTTCTCAGAGCACAGGGAGAAGGACGTGGCAGTGGCCTTATTTCTGTACAAGTTTGAAGTGTTCACAGGACTCAAGGAGTAATTTTGTACTTCACTCCCTACCCCCCTTCCTTCTCAAGTCTGCCCGTCTGTCACTCAGGACAAGGGCAGAGTTCCTTGATCCATCCCTCTGCCGCCCAGAAGCCCCCTCTGGCATTCATAAAGGCACAGATTGTTTCCAAGAGAAATGCAGAACCTCAGAGCCAAGCAGCTTTGAAATCTCTGGAGGGAACTTCACACACATGCCAAAGAAGGCAAAGTAGAAACATATCTTTTTTTTTTTTTTTTCTCCTTTCCCAGAAGTAAAATGGACATTGTGACTGTTACAATACACAGTGACTGAAATCTCAGCTTCATTCTCTTTGGTTTTTCATGCCTGGTACAAAGGGCTAAACATCCGATTACTATCTGTGTCGCTTTTCTGTGAGGTTCTGTGTGTTCTGACAGAGAGAACACACCATGAGGAATTGTGTCCCATGACTGGCTTTTCAGCTCTGCACCTTCATCACTGTGTGACCCTAGTTAATTTACTGACCCTCTCTGAGCAAAGCTTCTCTTTCTTCATCTGCAAACTAGAGATCTTAATACTTGTGTTGTAAGAATTCCATTAGGCTTAGTAGACGGAGCACTTAACATGGTCCTGGCAGCAGATAGGGACCCTGAGCGAGGAGGCATTTGAGCAGAACTAACAGTAATGTAAGTCCCTCACTCAGGGCACAGCAAAGTGCTGCCCATGCGCCAAATCAGGACTACCGCAGTTTTTATAAATAAAGTTTTATTGGAACACAGCCTCACCTCCTTGTGAATCCTTTGTCTGCCACTGCTTTCCTGCTACAACAGCTGAGTTAAGTAGTTACAACAGAGGCCATAGAGGGCCCACAGAGCCCAACTTACTCTCTGGCCCTTCACAGAAAAAGTTTGCCCATCTTTGCTCTTGACTCCAAATGTCAATGCCTTTTCTAGTGTTTTGAGATTCCTGAAACTTTGTTCCATGTCACAGAGTTGTCTTGTGTGCTCAGTCATGACCTGCTCATGGCAGGCAGTTACTACAGTGATTCATTTGAATTAAACACACACACACACACACACACACACCCCTATTTACCAATCTTGGTGTTGCTCAGCCTTTTATTCTTCCCAGAGAGCCTTTCCTTCTGTTGCATATTCTTTTTTTTTCTTTTTCTTTTTTTTTTTTTTTTTTCAGACCCTTTCAGCCCCTTTATCTGTGCGGGGCGGACAGATGCTGTAGGTTTGCAGTCACCCACATCACCTTTGCCCTTTGCCGGATCTCATGTTCCTGGGTTGAGCAGACCCTGCTGACCAGCCGGCGGCGCCTGTGCTTTCTATCCAACCCTCTCCGCCCCTCCCCCACAGGTGTCAAACTGTGGAAGTGGCTATTGAGACCTTCTAAATGTCCCCAAGCAAGAATTGCAAATAATAGACCAGCCGGTAGGGGTCAGATGGTGGGATGCTAAGCCAAGCACCCAGGACTGGGCTATCCTACAGAGTGTCTACCGACCCTCACCCCCTCCTTCTCCTAACTCCATGTCCTGCCACTTTAGCTTGGCTTTTTCCAGCCCAGACCCCCTGGCCTCCTTCCAGTTCCTCAGTCACCTGCAGTCACTTGTTCTAGCTGTTCCCTGTTGGAGTACCTTCCCTCAGACAGGGAACCTTCTCTCATGAACCTTCTCCTTGAGTGCTGCCCTGACCACCACACTGAATACTTCAACCAGCCAGCCCTAGGAACATTCCTGCTGGATCTCACAGGGGCGCTTGAGTTCTCCCATAGCATTTCTGACCTTCTGCCATACTCTACTGCGTGCTTATTATGCTCATTGTTTATCACTGATCTCCCCCATCATAGTCCCCAAGAGCAGGGATCGTGATGTGCTTTGCTCCTTGCTCTATTCCAATCAAGCTCAGAACTTACGTATTTACTGATTTACCAAACACACTGCACTTATTCTGTTTTAGTTAGAATAACTGCACTTATTCTGACACTGTTCTAACTTCTTTAAACATACCTACTCACTTAATGGGAGGTACTCAATAAATCGTCGCAGAATTGGGAGATGAGAGAGAGACAGCAAGTGTACAATGGTTCTGGAGTCAGAGTGACATCCCCGCCCATGCTTTTGACACATTCCTGCTGTGTAACCCTGGGCAAGTCACTTGAACTCTCTGAACATCAGTTCTTTTTCACTGAGAAAAGAGAAATGAGAATTCTCATTCGAAGAGTTGATGGGAGGGTTAAAGAGGACGTTGTTGGAAAGGTCTTGGTATCATTTGTGGCACGGAGAATGAGCTAATGGTGGTAGCACTTTGGTAGTGATGGTGCCGTGTCACTAAGCAGTCTTGAAGTGCCAGGCAGGCCGTGACTTCTTGTTTCTATCACCATCCCTCTTTCTGCAAAGAGCTGCAAGACTTATTAGGATCATCCATAAATGTCAGTTCTTCAAGCCAAATTAAGGAAGGAATTGGAAAAATTTTCTTGGGTGAAGTTTCCTTGAAATTAATGGGAACTATTTCAAAAATTTCAGTTCTACTAGCTTTCGTGTGTGTGTGATATTGTAGTAAGAACACTTAACATGAGATCTACCCTCTTAACAAATTTTTAAGTGTGTAATACAATTATTAACTGTAGGCACAATGTTGTACAGCAGATCTCTAGAACTGGGTGACTTTGTATAACTATAACTTTCTACCTATTGAAAAGTTCTTCCCCATTTCCTCCTCCCCACAGCCCCTGGAGACCACCATTCCACTCTCTGCTTCTAGGAGTGTGATGATTTTAAATACATCGTATAAGTATTTGTATTTGAGATACTGCATCTAAGCGTTACAGTGTTTATCTTTCTGTGACTGATTTTCCCACTTAGCACGAGGTC